AGCTTATTTTGTACAGGTACATATGTTGACATTTATGTAAAAGTTCTTTCAAGACTCTACACTTTTTTTTTTTTTATTTGTAAAAAAAGATGTGGGGATTATGTCCCCTTGGGAGGGCACGTTGATATTTAACAAATCCTTTTAAAAGACTGTCATCTCATGATGTGATATGGAGGAGTGGATATATGGCCTCATATAGGAAATGAGTAGTTAATGTATTATTTTATAAGCCAATCTACCTTTGTGAAAAGAATAAAGGTTTTAATCGGGACTTATGGCAACCTGTAGTGAAATACCTTAAGCTGTTTAACTGTAAGGCGTGGAGTAGGAGTCACTCAGTGGATTGGTTGTATGTTGTGGGCTGCTTAAGTCTGCATTTGTTACTGTGCTAATAAAAAACATAAAAAAATGACTTCAGCTGAGTCATCTGTTTTGTCATGTTACCTAAACCAGAGGAATTGGGGAAGGGGGCAGAAGGGAGGGGTCTGTAGTTAATGCCACCTACCACTTGCATTTTGGGGAGGCATTTCTAGATGGGTATGTTCTGATACCACAGGAATTTTCTGGCTGTATACTGTGAACCTAAAATGGTCCCCATGGCATCCCTGTCCCCACATACTCCTGAATCTTCTATTCCTTTTATCTTTCAATTTTCCTGCAACATTGGTTTTGGAGCTCTGCTGTTGAATTGGATATGCAGTGTCTACAGTTGGAAAGGTGTGGGATACTAAGGAAGGGCAGCAGATTAGGAGAGTTATCCATCTGCAACAACAGTAATGGGTAACAGCTGTGCTCCTAGTTGAAGGGAGAAGAGCAGACTGAGGGAGAGAGAGGATGGTATCATAAAACAAAGGAAGAACAAAAAACATGGAACTCGCGAAGCGAATGGGGGAGACTAAAAAGAGCTTCAGATTCATTCCTGAGAACGCACTGGACACTGTTAAATATTCAGCAATGCCACCTGAAATTACGGATCCTTCATTCTTAGCCACCCGTTGAGAGCAAGGTCGATGAATAGGGATGGTAGAGTTAAGATTATTTTTTAATATGAACTGCTGTATTTTTACATTTCTACATTGCTTAACATGCAACTGAATATTCATCTATCTTTCATGCTTCATTACCATACTTTTAATTGGTAATGTTTTAAACTCTTAAATTATGATGAATTTAACTCTTAACTTAGTCTCCAGAACCTACATTTGTCAGTATTGTGGCTACTACATTAGTAACATCCACACAGAAATCAGGTTTAGATACTAATTAAGACTCAACCCACACAGACTTGAAGCCAACCTTTAGGCTCAGCCTGGAAAGTGGCGGTGCACGTTGACACTGTTTCAGAAGCTCTGCAAGGAAGTGACTCTTAAATGCAGTTCTTCCGCTGCACTGAGTCAGACAGCAAGTTCACCTCCTCCTTCTTCCCACCATATATGCAACTAGCCTCTGGCTGGTGGGAACTGATTCAAGGCTCGTGCTACCCCTGCTCACTTGCTCACAGGATGGAACTACATCCCCTCCCCTCACCACAGTGCTGTAATTTGAGCAGCAAAGAGATTAATAGCTGCAAGAGAGGAACTGGACTTCCCTTCTGAGTCTATGATAAAGCAGAGATGGGACATGCACTGCAAACTTTGTTCTCACCCAATACCAGCTGTTGTCTGGCTCAGTTACGTGACTGGGTAACTGGGCATGGGACTGTGGTATTTAGAAAGGACACCAGACTTTTGTGATGAAAAGGCAGTAGAATAAACCCCTAAAAGAAATGGAGTGTATTTTTTTTTCAAAACCCTAGACAATCCCAGAAACTAGTTTGACCAAGTAAAAAGGTGTAGAATGTTATAGCTTGTGTGGTACTGCATCCCTTGTTAGTCGCACTGTCCAATCCCTGTTCCCTCTTCCCTTTATTAGAAGCTAGTTGCATGTGTCCAAGTACAGCAGTGACTATGATGCTGATGGAAAACTGACACCAGAAGCCACCTGGCTGCCTCCTGGCACTGAAGGGGACCAACAGTGGAAATCCCAGTAAGGATGAGAATGTCATGCAGTGTGCTTCTTGCAACACTCTGCAGCCTTCCATATGATTCCAGGTCCACAGTACAGCCTTAGGTAGGGTAGTTACTCAATAATTCTGTCCACTCCCATAAGCCTTTTACAATAGGGCAAGCCTCTTGGATTTAGCTCAGGGTGTCAGACATTCTGCCCTTCAGCACATGGAGCTGCTCCATCCAGCCTGCTCAGGTACTGGTGAACTAGAGTAGTTGAAGGCACATCCTGCCATAGAACTTGGGGTCCCTGGGCTCTGCTGGACATGGCCTTCAGTGACATAACCTTGCCTGCCCAGCAGCTGCTTGCCACATTGCCACCACCACAGCGAGTGGCTGCTTGCCTCCTGCTGCCAGCCCATACTGCTGCTGTTGCCAGCCCTGCAAGTCACCCTACATTAGATCTATCCCACAAGATGACCTGCGATCCAAATCCAAACTGGGGCACAGGGTGAGACTGAGCCCCCTTCTACAGGTGCAGGTAAAGGCACAATGGGATCTAATGCCCAATTCACATAAACGTGCCTCCTGCTATGCCATGACTACGTGGCAGGAGGCATGACTGGGATTGCACATTACAACCCATTGCACCTTATTGCCGGTGCAGAGGGAACCTGCTCTCAGGCTCCCCCTGCACTGGCAGGAAGCAGGCTCCTATAATTAGGAGCCCCACACACCCTGATTGAGGGGCTCCCAGCTGCAGAGGCATCCCACACACCCTGCTACAAAAATCTCCCACCTTGCATGCACAGGGAAACCCCTGTGGCTGGAGAATCTCCCCTACAGCAATCCTCCAGCCCTGGGAGTTTCCCATACCCCTGAGCCTTGGGGATTGAGGGTGCAGAAAACCCCTGGACCCTGGGGATCACAGCTGCTATGATCCCTAGGGCTCAAGGGTTTTTTGCTGGGCAAGGTACACCCCTGTGACTGGGAGCCCTGTGTCAGCTGACAGGGCTCCCAGCAGCAGGGGAGGTGCTGCTGCGCATGCAAATTAAAGCTCACTAGAAATCAGCTATAAAGTTAGTACACATTTTTGAGGTCTAACTTGATAGCTAGTTGGAGCTTTTTATGGCATGATAACTACTTTGCACATGCTGCTTGTCTCCAGGTAACTGCACAATTAACACAGAGCTACAGTATGGAAGAAAGTGAGAATCACTGTTATAGAGCAACAAGTCATGTCCCTATGCCAAATGGACTATAGAGTTTGGTAGCCCTCCATGCAGGGAGATGCACTGAGTTCATGTGCAGTCAGCAGGAAACTGAGAAGCAGTGTTCTACTGCTTCCTTGCAAAGTAACTGGCTAGGCTTGAGGAGGTAGTGCCATAGTTCTTATTAAACTACTAGTGTTGCAATAGAAACCATTGCCAACTTCTAAGAAAATTGCAGGAACTTGCTCATTCAAAAGGAATAGCAAATGATTGCTCACTGTTTCTCCTGTCATAGTTCTTGAGACAGTGAGCCTGAACAACCAAGTTGAGCAAGGGGAAGAGCAGGTTGATCTAACTGCACTATAAAAAGACTTGCATCATTTGGTAAATTGTTCTTTCATTACTAACTGTGACATCATTCAGATTCTGCCTTACGTTGATACCATTTCATAGCAGAAGAGCAGTGCTGAAGACACCCAGTTTGGATGTTTAATGCAGCTAGCTAGTTTTAACATGTCAAAATACTGATTAGTCTCATTGCACTATCATGATTTGACATTGTGCTGCTTAAATTATCGTGTAAGATTACTGAAAGAGTGGCAAACCTTGCTCTTCAGTTTATTTGTTTTCCATACACAAAGAGCATCAGTTTGTATGGTCAGAATCAAAGACCTTTTGATTTTTTTGTCTCTATGGAAATGACCTTTCTGGTGTAGTTTAGCTCTTTTTTGCTATTTTCAGTTGTTCCTACTGCTGACAGGTGCAAATGGAAGAGAAGACTCCTGCTTATGGCCAAGGGCTTTGCAGAGCTCTTCTGGTGAGCAGTTTGCATCTAGATGTCTGGCTAGAATGAGCAGCTCTTATACTCCTTATTCCCTTGCCAGAAAATGCTTCATACTGTTCTTTTTCTGGGCTCTTTCACTGCACTCAGAATGTGAGCTACTGAAATTTCACTATAGTGGATTGCAGCCCTTCCAGAAGTTTAAGCCTCGTTATACCACATATTCTGTCAGTGAAGGTGTCAGCAACATAAACATGACCAATATGTGCTGACATTAAGTCAGTTTTTGCTTCAGTTAATGGCCATAATAGAAGGGGAACAGAGCGATGGCCATACTGTTCTCCACAGCAATGGATGGAATGTGTCACTGCTGCTCAAGCCTTCCTGCTTTGTTCAAAGCATAAGCATAAAGATCCCTTCCTGCATTGGGTCAAGCTTATGAAGGCCACACATGGAAGTACACATTTTCAGCCTTTGAGCATTAGCGTCAAGCCAGACCTAGACTAAGATCTCTAAAGAAATACCACTGCCTCCACATACTGGCAGGAATATTCCCAATGGCCAAACAAAGTTTGGTATTTGTAGCTTCAAGTCTCTTCCCTCTCTTGTAGGGCTGCTCTGGCCCCAGCTTCCTGAAACATCGCTGCTGTCTATGACTGCGTGCTAAAAAGTGAAAAACAGGAGCTGGACCAATACCACAGATTCTCATCCCAAACTCCTTTGTCTTTTGTTGCAGTCTGGAGCACTTCTAACCAGAGGAAGGCAAGCAAACTTACAGCTGCATGCTGGCCAGGAAGTATAATTGTAAGCTTGTTAATCTAACAGACAGGCCATGAAATGACTGCGCTTTGGGAACAGTCACCAACGTTGTGCATTTTGCTGCTGAAGTGTGCTTTAAACAGAGCTTCCTCTTATACAGAAACCTCCACAGTGACCACTGCACCATTTTCACGAAGCCACTCTGTGTTTTTAAAACCCCAGCCACCAGCTGTTTTCCAAGAAAATATTTTAAAGAAAAAACCCTTCTGTCCAGGAGCTTGCTGATTTTTAATATTGCTTCAGAAAAACCATGAGAAACAAATGCCTGAATAGGTCCTGGTCATGACTATCAGCAGTGGACAATTCAAACAGCCTTTCCTGGAAGAAGGGTTTTTAGTTATCAGAGTTATTGCCTTTGCTCTTCCTCCCAGGCAGGGGAAATGCTGATTTGTTCTGGGACTGGGAGAGTTTGCTGGTTAAAAAAGTGAAAGGCTCTATCAGCGTTCTCCGATCTGTTACAGTCACTTCCCACAGTCTCACTTTCTCAGCCTTTGCCCATTGCTGTGCTACTTCCATTTCTACTTGTCTTTGCTCTGTGAGGTCAGTTTTGTTTCCTAAGACAACAATCGTCACCTAGAAGGAAGCAAAAATAGGAAATAAAATTATATTAAAACAGTCATTCTACAACAAAAAATGTTAAACAATATGTAAGTTATGCAATTCAGCATCTGTTCTTGTTAATGTTGTTCATTTTGAAGTAGAAAATTCAAACCTGGGTCTCACTCTGGGCATTCATAATGAGTTACTCAACCCAAGTCTACACACATCTGAGTTCCACAAGCATACCTGTTATGAGTCTACTCCTCTAGTCAATTTTACCTTCACCTAATGCAAACTAGTTACACTGTCACCCAGTTGCCAAGGGCTTTAATAGCACCTGCAGCAGGCAGCCTACTTGGGGCAGCTGGCTGTGTGTCTGCTCCTTGCTTTGGAGTAAGATGAGAAGTGGGGAATAAATTACTTCATAGCAATTGTGTCATGCATCCACACCCAGGCCAAGTCAAATGCTACACGTTGCCCAGGGGAAAAACACACAGTTCAAATCTTTGGGATTTGAGATTTGTCTTGCACTTCTGCTGTCTTATACAAATGACAAGAGTCATTCATACTCCCCAAATCAGAACAGCAATTTTATATCCACTCAAGTGAGTAACAACAGATGGTGTCATGCAGCAGAGAGCAGTGCAGCCTCCTGCTTTTGAGTCCCAAATAAAGGGAGCACAAGGAAACATGTTACTGGTTGATGTTACTACAGGCATTAGCACTCTTCAGAAGCATAGCTCCTGCAAGTCTTGCTTGTATGTGAAGACCAATATAGTTTCAGTGGAATTTAGATCACGCTCTTGCAATGTTTTGCAGTCTAAACATAGTGTTAGGGCAGGAAAGGCTGAAAGCAAAAATGAGTACTTCAAATTACTACTGCTGTTTAAACTTGTACATTTAAGCCTAAAAACATTAAGTTGTTCACTTGAATAATTTTTACGTTTTAGTACCAAGCAAGGAAGTCAGTCTGTACTTACACTAAGCACTCTAGTCCCTGCTAGGTGCTCTCTGCAGCCCCAACTCAAGCCTCCTACTACAACCCCTTAATTCTAACTCTCTCCTGATGCTTTATTTTTGCATTCCTCCTCCCACCACCAGCAGTTTTCAGTGTAGCCAGGCCCAACTATACTTTCCCCTTCAACAGGCTGACTCTGGGATGCTTTATGCCTCCTGTTTTCTTCCAGACAGAGCATGACTCTTCAGTTTCTTAGAACAGAAGAGTTTTCTTGCCTTACACTCTGTTCCTCAGACATTCCTTTTTGACAACATCAAGGCTGCTGCTTTATCAGCAAAAAAAGACAACTACTGTTCACAGTATGGTGCCAGGCCGTATGTGTCAGGGCCCTCAGACATGCCTCTGCTCCACCCACACTGCCTCCTGGACCAGAAGTAGTGCATCTGCATTCATACAAGTGCTGCAAGCAAGCTAACTGGCACTGCTAAGTGAGACTACCATTTATTCCGTCCAAAGCCACCTCCACATTGCTTATTTGAGAGGAGCAACAGAGGTATACATCTGAAGGCACCTCTCCCTAGCATGCTGTACACTATGTAGACATAGCATTCTTTTAACTTTTATTGTGGGGGTCACTAGTTCATCTGTGTAACTGTTAGCCAAGATCACAATCTTTCATCGCTCATAGAGTTAAAGCAAAAGCAGCCAATATGTGGTTTTATCAGCCCAGAAAATGGAAGAGAGGGAATACAAAAACACAGATTACAATGCCCTTATTTAACGTCTTCTGCAACCTACTCAGGAAATAAAATACTCAGCAAAGGTCAATGGGTCTGTCACTGCATGTCATCAAGCCATTATGTGAGAAGCAAGGGTTTATTTGGGGGAATGTATAGAGATCATTTATTGGACCAACTGCATAGTTGGGAGAGATATTAGATAAGCTCTTGGGCACAAAGTACTCCAGCTTGTCTAGCACCTTTCCCAACTATAGTTTGTCCAAAAAAAAAAAATCATCAAAAACCCTTGCTTCTGACGTATTTCCTGGACTATCATAACGACAACACTGCAACCTGTCAAGCTATTAGCCTGTCCTCCCCTACCCCATTATGATTTAAGTATTAAATAAGCTGTTTTGCATTCACCAGCATGACAGCTACTTAGTGTTATTCAATTAACTTCCTACATACATTTTTTTAAATGACTGAAGTTTTGTTTTAGTGTCCTATAAAGCTGTTTAGCAGGGAGAAAAGAAAATGGTAAACATTAGTGTCCTGTGCAGATGATATTTGGCTAGTGGTGCTGAAACAATTTATCAGCTGAGAACACTAGCTGTTTCCTAAAGGGAAAACACAGCAGTCATTTCACACAGCAGAACCAATTTTACAGATGCATCAAAATACATTAGAGCCTCCCTGGTAATTAACTAATGTCTAGGAGACCCACTGTCAATTACAGCATTTGGTAAACTAACGAGTACAGCTAAAAACAAAAATTGTTTACATTTTGTTATTGTGTGCTTTAATTTTTGTGTGAATACCAAAACTATTTATAAATTATACTACTATCCATTAAAGTAAAGTAAAGTAAAGTATCATTAAGCAGGGTCTCCCTTCAACTATTTAGTTCTTGCTCAGAAGTTAGGTCAAAATATCCCTTTTGTGCAAGTTAAATAGCACATGAGATTTTCCCAAAAGGAAGTTTTCCTGCACAGATTATCCAAGATTGCGAGAAAATCTGCTTTTCTTTGTATGCTAGTTTTGTTTCATAACTTAAGTTCCTAGTAGACATAGCCAAGAAATTATTAAGGCATTGAGCTTTTACCTCTTTTTTGTCTCTAAATGCATCAATCTCTCTTTTGAGTAGTTCTACTCTCTGGAAGGATTCAAGGCTGTTCACAGCGTACACAAGAACAAAGCCATCAGCAACAGAGATGTAATGCTTTGGCAGTTCTACTTCTTCTTCCAGACCTCTAGTGTCGTAAAGACGTAATTGTTCCTTTACTCCTCGATCTGTTTCAACTGAAGCCAAATATACATCTTCCAGTGTTGCACCCTCTTCCAAGCCTGCTGTTTTAACAAAGAGGAGTTATTGCTTAGGCTAAAATCTGTAAAGTAATAGCATAAATATTTAGCCATACTGCAGTAAAACCATTCATGTTTATGACTTTCAGTAGTGCATTTCAATCTCTTGTAAATATTGTTTTTGGATGAACTGACCAGACTTTGAATTCAGACCTTTTTGTACCCTCAATCAAGATTTTATTCATGGACAAACAGTATGGATATTTACAAAAAAACAAAAAACAAAAACAAAAAACACACGTATCCAGGATATGAATGTGTGTGATTGTATGCTATGACTTTTCATGGCCATAAATTTATGATGGCATAACTTGCATGACCATTCCATAGGTTTCTCAAATCGTGCCCACCCACTACATAAGAACTGAGCTAAGTATGTGATGTGCTAGCCTTGCGGCAGACGAGCCAGCATCTGTCTTCAGGCACTGTAACCAAGCTCCCTCTGGCATCAGAGGCTAGCATCCTTCAGCCTATACAGTGGTACATTAATCCACAAGTGGGAGGCACAGAGAAGCATGCTTGAAGTCAGTGGGACTACATGCGGGGTTACCAGCCAACAGGTGGAATGGGGACACATGATACTACAAGTAACAAAGTTGAGGAATGCTTAAGCCTGAACATTATGTAAGTTGAGGAGAGAGGGGAATCTAATTCCCTGCTTTTAGAACCAGCTTCAAGTTGTCAAACAAACCTTTTACTACTTACATTTTTGTCTCCCTTGAACAATTAGGTATATGCACTTTTTTTGTTTGTATAGGGTTAGTCCTCATGAGTACTGGCTTTGTTTGTTTTTAAGGCAGACAATATTGACACATTGTTTCAGAAAACACTCAGGACTGTCTGGACTGTGAAAATAAGGATTTTACAATATTCAGTGACACTATTCAAAACACTTCAGACTGAAAAGCTGAAGGATTCCACCCCCACATATGCTGGTTATTTCCTTAGGTGCATGCAACATTAGTTTGCAGAGAAGAAATACTACTAGCTTTCCTTGCCTGCATTTCATCTCCCTCCACTTCATCCTCCTTCCCCCTTGTAGTCTTCATAAATCAAACTCCCATTAGGTTCATGGCAAACTCTGACCAGACTAATTTATCTTGCCTTCAAATATAGCCATGCTGAAGGCACAAAACTAATAATAGGGAAGACTGGAAAAAAGTGAATAAAGACAGAAAGTGTAAAATAAAGACGTAGATCTGATTCAGAAAAGTGGTAGCTAAAGATATTGCAGGCATTTTTAAATACAGCTGAACAGTAATGGTTCTCTTGCTCTCTGTCTCCAGTCTCATTGTACAGAGATGTGCATAGGATTTAGCCTCGCTAATCGTTATACCAGCAAAAAGGAAAAGACCTTAACAGTTAAAATCTTTTAAAAAAAAAAAAAAGTTATGAAGCTCATCTTAAAGTTCTCTACTAAGATAGTTTACACAGGTTATTATCACCTTGATGCTATACTTCAATGCATAGGTCTTGAAAACATTCACATGCTTCTATGGAAATTTCTCCCAGCCATCAACGCAGCAATAGGACATACCTGGGCTAACATACAGAATGGCAAAGGGAGAGAATGAAGACATACAAAGTAAAGTTCTTGGTGGAAGGTTAGGACTGTGGGATCAAGTGTACATGGACATGGAATAAGGATCTCTTTTGGTCATAGGAATTTACATATTCACTAGGGGCAGCAATGGGCTAAACATATCCAGTGTGCAAGTGGCACCCTACATGCTGCTCATACAGAGCACTTAAATGGCAAATAAGCTTCATGCTGACTGTTCAGACAGGGAAAGGGATTTCATCAGGTTAAAGTAATTCACCTCTGATAATACTGTGGAAACCATGTTGCTAACAATGTTCACAGTTGCTGTTAGTTCTATCCCCTTGTACAGTGTGTACCAACCAGCACTAAAAATTATGAGAGAACAGAAAGGCCTTAGTTACTTGGCTTGAATTTTAGGAAAGGATGAACTACATTGCTGGGATCATACAAGAACAACGTGGGCAAATTTCATCCACTGCATGGCTAAGGCTGCTGGAGTTTGATGTTAATGATTTTTATTAATTTAGATTAAGATGAAATGACTGTGCACTGGGGAATCCCAGAGCATGGACTGAGCTGGAATTCCCTTCGCTGGATTTGGTTCAACTCAATCCAGGGTTGCAGGATCAAGTAGAAGCAAACAAGGGCCACAGGAGTACTATCCTCACTGATTTAGTCTAATATTGTAACCCTCAGTTACATGCATTTAAAACAATTTTTGTCATTAGACTGGAAGAATGGTCACAGCTTTGTCCGAAAAGCAGTTCTGTGTTAAAAACAGAGCTAACATTGCACAAGCCAGATACAATAACTCATAGATATTCACTCTTTGCACACTTAAGGTTTGCTATGCTTCCTAACCAAAATCAAAAAATCATCCTTGGTACTTGAAACTTAAGTTTCAAGTCTGAAGACAAATCCAAGAAGGTTCTGTCTAATTAGAGGCTCAGTTGCAATAGTTTTCCAGGGCCTTCACTGGAAATCTGACATCCTGAGCACGGTGGGGTTTCTTTTGTAGTCAGAAGGCAGAGATAAGGAAAGCAGAATTGTCAGCAGAAGAAAGGATGAGCTTTTCAGTTCTCATAGGCAGTAAGCTGTGGCAGAGATAGAGGCACCACAAGCATTTCTAGCTACAGGAATGATTTCTGGCTAAGCCATCAATTCACAGAGAAGTCATTTAAAAAACAAACAAACAAACAAACAAACAAACAAACAAACAAACAAACAAAACTTTCCAGCTGTCCCATTTGGAGAAATCCAGCAGTCAGCTTTCCCATTTGCTCTCTCAAGGTCAGTCAGGCTGAGGAGCACCAGGTGATGTGTAATTCACTCTCTACCTACTGCCTCTTAGGAGAAGTGTTTGCTGCTTCAAGCAGAAAGGGAGCTGGGAACAAAGCTGAGGAGAGAGGAAAACAGACTGACCCTTTCCCACTTCCATACACAATGGACAAGCAGGCTGAGGAACAGTACAAAACCTGGCTGTGGTGCAGATCTGGGAACTGAACTCCTGTCACCTGTTTTCTCCTGTCAGCTGTCACAAATGATAGCTGAAAAAAGAGCCTGGGATTTGGCCTGGAGGTGGATGAGGGATTTTCTACTATGTTAAAAAGTTTTATTTGTAAATCCAGTGAGATTTAGTGTGCATTAAAGAGCATTTATTAAATGTAAAGGAGGTGCATCTTAGAGAAAGTCCCTGCTGTTACATAAGCATTTAACGAGTAGCTCCATAAATAGCTCTCATCAGCTGCTCTTGACTTTCTTCCTGCCTCAGTTACTAACAGCAGCTAAGAACAGGAAGTAATTAACGGCAGTACAATAAGCATCACCATCTTAGCCATCCTGTTCAGACACTGGTGCTAATCAGCTCATTCAGAGCAAGTGAGATGGGAGATGAACAAAACGAAACCTCTTCCTTGCCATTGAGCTCACTGGGCCCCTTGCTCTCCCGCAGCAGCTCCCAGTTAGGCCGAGCAGCAGCGCTCAGTACGCGTATCGCTACAGCTCAAGAGGAGACACCCTGGTTAGCACGACGCTCCTGCCCTGCTGAGCAGCGTCCCCAGCCGGCAAGGACAGAGGCCTTCTGCTTTTGAGGAACGAAACTCATTAGTCCACAGTTTTCATATTGCAAATTCCCACCTGCCCAAGTTGTCTCAACCGGCCCAAGTGACAGCACCCCCTGCCCTCCCACTGGGGCACCTCTGCCTCCAGCCACCTCCCATTACCCCTGCCTATCCAGAGCCTCCCACCGGCACCTCTTTACTGCCAACGCTGGAGAGGGCGGAAACGGGATGGCAGGAGACGGGAAGGAGTAATGGCCTGAAGCGGCAGCCGGGGACATGGAGGTTGGGGGGACTTGGCGACCCCGAGGACCCGGCTGCACCTTGCTCAAATTGAAGCTGGCGAGAAACCAGCAAGAGGACTGCTGCGAGTTTTCAAGCCGTATGTGGCGACTGGCCAGCTCCTTGGCTAGCTGGGCAGCCACATTTTAGGTGCCTGGCGATGACTCGGCACGGTGTACATTTATGGCGCAACTCGTGGGCGATCCCTCCACATCTGCAGTTGGACTACGTTTGTGGCACAAGTGGCGGGCAGCCCCTCCACACCTGTGCTCAGTCCACAGTTACGGCGCGATTCACCAGCCAAGGTGGCGGCGATTCCTTGGCGGCGAGTGTGCAATACACGTAACGTGCAGCAGGGCCGGGGCGGCTCCAAGGAGGCCGAGACCCGCCGCTCCCAACCCCCCCGCGCTCACCGGCCGCGCGGTGCCCGTACAGCAACTGCTCCAGCACAGCCGTCTTGCCCACGGCAGGCGCGCCGCTCACCACCACCTTGTAGCCCTTCCCCATGCCCGGGCCGCGCAGGGCGCACCGGGAAGCGGGAGGCGGAGGTCGTCCCCTCCGAACTACACTTCCCAGCAGGCTCCGGGGCGGGGCTCGCCCCCCGCCGAACTCCGAACTACATTTCCCAGCAGGCCCCGGGCGGAGGGGGCGGACTACATTTTCCAGCATCCCCCGGGGCGCGGCGGCGGAAGGGAGGTGGGGTTGCAAAGGGTTGTGGGAGCGCGGCTTCTTCCTTTCCGGCTTCGGGCGCCATCAGGTGAGGATCGGGTTGATCCCGGTCGCTGCCTCTATCTGCCGCCATCGCCGTCTCCGAGCGTGGGGCAGGCCCCGGCGCGGCTCCGGCCCGGCCGGCGGTTCTGGGCGCGGCCCGGCGGGGGCGAGCGGGAGTCGCGTGGGGAGGTCCCGGGTACCCGGGGCGGCCTTTGTCCTTTCACCAATTCGGACGCGCTCAGCGGCCCTGGGTGCCGGCCGAGGAAAAGCTCTTCATGGTGCAGGAGTTAAGTCAGGCCTCGGGGGAAGAAGCTGCTGAGAAGGGGTGACTTCGCCAAAGTACCTCTGTAAACTCGTTAGGGGATCCGCTGCGATCTGGGTGAAGCTGCTATTTAGTATGTGGCAGTAGCTGGGGTCTGCCAGGCATCCTCATGAAAAAGTGGTTTCTCCTTTGAGAGTTCAGCTCGCGTAAAAGCAGGAAGAGATGCGAGAGGGCATTTTCGGCAGGATGGCTGCCCTGCGTTTAAGCCCCTTGTGTTTCCGTGTGGTGCAGCCTGTTACACGATATCCGCTTTGCACGTGGGTTTCCTGTGGGAGGCTCTCGAAGGGGGATAAAGACTTGGTCACAAACTTACACAGATCTCTGATTAAACAGGTAAACAAGCATGGGCGCTTACAAGTACATCCAAGAGCTATGGAGGAAGAAGCAGTCAGACGTGATGCGTTTCCTCTTGCGCGTCCGCTGTTGGCAGTATCGCCAGTTGTCTGCTCTGCATCGGGCTCCCAGACCTACCCGGCCAGACAGAGCCCGGAGGCTGGGTTACAAAGCCAAGCAAGGTAACTAGGCCTGAAGAGATTTGCAGCTGACACTTTACCACTGGGGTGTCATGTCACAGTACGTGTTAGAGTCTTTCCTAACTGAGCAGCAAGGGGTACATGTAACTGGCAGCACACTAGGTGTATATGCTCTTTGGTAAGAGTAAAAAAACACCATGAAAAGATGGGTTTGGTATTATACAGGTAGTAACATAGCAATATAACTGTCCACAGAAAAAGGATAGTACTATAATTCATGCTTACTTAGCATCTAAGGAAAGAATTTTGGCAAAACCGGATATTTAAGTATCCAAATAATTAAGTAAATACAGAAACTGAATTCCCCTTGTTCTTGAAGAATTGAACTTCTCTAGTTTTCCTCTGCAAAGTTGGAGGTTCTTATCCCAGATGTGGCTTGCAGCATGTGCCAGTTCCTGGATCTGCTCTCAACATCTAGCTGGGTGGAAAGTCCCCTTAAGCAAAGATGAGAGTTTTGAGTATGGACCAGAGGCACTCTCATGTGAAATGCCTGGCTAAGAATCAAAGCTAACTCCAGTGAAGATAAAATAATAGTATCCTCAGAGGTGGACAGGACTGAGATGTCTTTGCAAGGCACTGTGGAAAAAGACTCAGCTTGCAATCTTGGAAGCATTTTCACACTTAAAAAATGAAAACAAGACCAAAAATGCTACTTGAGCTTTCTAGTTTCTAATAGCTACAAAGTTTTCCACCTGCCTGTTGGCTCATCTGCACTCACGTTTTACTATTGGCTTAAATAATTTTTATAATTGGAAAATTATATTGTCAACAACCCACATGTAATCTCATTTACACCACTATTAAGGTGTGTTGTACCATATAGCTTATTTTGGTTTAGGCACTGAAGCGACCTTTGGTGTATAATGCAGTGATATACACATGGAGGGAATTTGGCTGTATTAAGTGTTATGGTATAAAGCAGGAGCACTTCACCAAATTTTCCAGTACAAGGTTTATCTACATTGAAGATGCTCATAAAAGCAGCTTCTGCAGTAGGAGTGGAACTAGAAGTCTTGAAGGGAAAAGTATTAATGTGAGGGGAAAATAAAGCCACAGTAATTGATGCTCAATGAAATTCAGAACTCTCATATTCTTTAACAAGTAACGTTTTATAAAACGCACCTTTTTTTTTAAGGTTACGTGATCTACCGTATTCGTGTTCGTCGTGGCGGTCGTAAACGCCCAGTCCCAAAAGGTGCAACATATGGTAAACCTGTGCATCACGGTGTCAATCAGCTGAAGTTTGCCCGTAGCCTGCAGTCTGTAGCAGAGGTAAATGCCTTTCTCCAGTAGAAAGTTTTTTGGGAGTCTTGTTCGACTAATGGAGGGAGGGCATTATTCAAAACCACAGAATTCCTTCAGGGACCTAAAAGTCAGGACTACTGACACTAACAGGGCACTTGTGAGACCTTCATACCCATGTGCCTCAAGGGGTTTATTAAGCTGAGTAAACGGTATTCTTGTATGTTTGGGGAAACTAATGTGGAGAGTTCAAGTGACTTGGTAAAATTGGTGCTCCAGGTTAACTGGACTAGGAGTATGACTTGTCATTCAGTTTTATGTTCTGATGCACTTTCATTGGTTGCAGTGACATGGTAGAACAGAGCATACATAGTATTAGCCTTTTTTATTTATTTTTTTTTTACAAAAGTGTTGATAGCAAAAGTTAGGCTTTGGACACAGTGTAATTCATGACTTTATTGATCATTTTGCTTTATATAATCCAATATAAGAGTTGACTCTTTTTTTTTAATTTTTTTAAATTTAATATGCTGCTATATTAGTTCTGTAATCTTAATTCCTTGGCAGAGAATTGCAGTTGACCTGTCTCTGCATACAGGATTTGACAAGAAGTAAAATTAACCACATGAAATTAACATCGTTCTAATTAGTTTCATCCAACAACACAAAGGTATCTTTGGGAAGTAGAGAATCCCAGAGTACAGGAAAAAGCAACTAGGCTGAAAAATCTATCCTTAAATTTAGGTCTTACAAACCACCTTCCCCTTGTTAGTATTTCCTACTGTTGTATTATATTGTCAGGTATGTATAGAAAGTAGTTTGGGGCAGGGGCTCTTTCCATATTCCATAAAGTGGGGGAAAAAAATCATGAGGGCTTCTAGTAGAGGTAGAAGAAGCATTTCTGCTTATTGTATGTTCTTGGCATGCCCTCTATGTAACATGCATGACTGAGGTGTGACATCTGTACAACGACATTTTCAAAATCAGCTTTAACTCCACATTGTGTAATATAACTGATGAGAAGGGATAACTGCCTTTCTGTAGTGAGGACATGCCAGCAAATAAAATACCCTTTTAGATGCAGAGAGCCTAGTGCTTCCCCCTTTCCACTGTTTGGCTGACGCTAGACCTGTAGTTTCTCTAGGGGACTATGTGTTTTTCCTGATTTGTAGGCTGTAGTTTTTGTGTGTGTTTGTTTGGGTTTTTTTAAAGGAGATTTTGTAGGCCAGAAAAAAAAATCCTGTTGTGTTCTGTTTGTAATCTGAGAAATATTTCTGAGCGTCAGGAGGCATCCTGGGCTGCTTCCTTCCTAGCAACTTTTGTGAGGCTTTAAGGGTATTATGCAGGAAGCTGAAACTTGAGTGCAGCTCAGCCCTTTTTGCATGGTAGTACCTGAGACCACCTTTGTTTTACAATGAAGCCATAAGTGGAACATAACATAATTACTTTGTAGCTCACATTTTCAGGTAGAATGTTGCCTGACTGGAATTTTAGGCCCTAGGTTGAATATGAACCAATGAGATGGCATCAGAGGAGAACAAATTAGATTTGTTTCTTTGCAGAATTACTTTCTAAGTAGTGTTATTTCACTTTACATAATAACCATATGTTCTTTCCAAAATGCAAGCCTGTTCTCATTTTCAGCTCATGGTTCTCAGATACTTTAAATGCTGGTCAGATTGGTTATTCCTTTGAGCAAAGGACGTATTAACATTGAGATACTGAAACTGGTAGACAAAAAAGCTTTTTCTTTTTAGAACATGTCAATGTTTAATTTTGTTTTAAGGTAAGCTCTTGGCCTTTCTTCTACAAGGCACCATAATTCAGATCGCTTTTAGAGGCTCTCCAGTTTTTTCCCTCACTTGTCTCAGGGACTTCAGTTTAATTTACTTCTGTTTTGTACATTTCTTGGCATAGACCATTTGTTCAGTTTTCCATTACCAAGGTTTTATTTATTGTTCTAACTTCTCATATATGTGGTAAAGGCATGACTATTGTATTTATTGTAAATTGAGTGCCTCTTATTGCTACCTTGTCTTAAGAAAACCAAAATCTGAATACTTTTTTAGTTCTGTTTATATTAGTAATGCTAGGTCTCCACTTGACGGAGGACTGTAGAACTGGAGTGGGATGATTTTGAAGACAATATCATTGATCTTTTGACCTGTAGAATAGTCTCCCAAAGTAATGATAGGATTGCTTTGGTTTGGCATGCTTGCTCATGTTTAGTTTTAAAAGGAAAGTCAAATATAGAATGATTCTGTGCTGTAAAAGAGCTTGGGGGAATTCATGTGACCCAGTAAGTTTTTTGTTTGAACCTGAGCTCCAGCTCTTTCAATCCTATATTAAATGAGAGGACCTTGTACTCTAAACAGAGGAGGCATCAGACAACTATGGGATTTTGGAAAACGGAGAAAGATTTATGAAATGCCAGTTTGTTCCCTATAGTGCATTTTGTGAATCTTCTGGTAAAGCAGTAGTGTTCAGATAAATGAAGCTTCCTTCACTTTCTTTGGGAGACTGTTCAGCAACCTAGTGCATCTCCAGCAATCAGCTGACATTCATTTTAATCCCCTGGCTTAAAATCCTGCACTGGTTTCCTGTCTTATGTTCATATTCTGTTTACTGAGCCTGTTATTTAGGGACATCACTTTCAACTTGTCTGTAGCACTCATATTTGCTATCCTTCTTGCTAGTCATCTCTTGAACTCTTGTTTTTACCTTTCTAGGA